GTGGCGAGTAACATTGTTAATTCTACCAACACAAGGGGTTGATGGGTAATGACAATGTTGGCACCCGCAGTGGGTACGGTGTGTTAACCCTTAACACTGTGCCAGGTGGGGATGTTGGGCCTGGTGGGGATTATGGTTCTGCCATCTGTGTGTAAGAACAATGCTCAGAACAGTGTACAGCATGGGTTGTGCAGCGCACAACAGGGGCATGTGTGAGCACTCAGCAGATTACCGGAACTCCAATTTTCCAAGACCTCCAAAGCAGAAGGGTGTTTGGGGGTATCACTGGAACTATGAAATAACCATTCATAAAAAATAAGACACTGTGATCAAACTACATAATATGCTGGCTAGTTTTTATTTTTATATTGGTTTATATTTTATTTTGTTTCCCATCTCTTGTCACTCCAAATTATTTGAAGCGCTATTGTCAAGAATGACATGTTAAAGCATAATTTGCTGGCCAAGTCACTAATACTGCTCACCCTTGCTTTCACTCCAAACAAACAAACAAACAACAGCAACAACAAATGCTCCCATTGTCTATACTACGTCCAACCTCCTGTAGTCTGCCATCTGCAAGCCTCCACGAGTGGATAGTTCCAGGGATATTTCTCATTAGTCTCTTTCACAAACAGGTCCAGCAAAAAGAGTTACTGACCCCTGCTCTCATACTTTCTGCACTCTCCTGGCCTTGGGACTGTGCTCCTGTTGTTTACTTTCTCTCACTTTTTCTAGCTCTAATCCTGCCGGTCCTTCAGGGCTCAGATCCAATGCATGCCTTCCACAGCGCCCTTCCCACACTGCTCAGCTGGATGCAAACTCTTCCTTTTTTGTCACTCCTTGTTTTTTTTTTGTTTTTTTGGTTTTTTTTGTTTTTTTTTTAATGATGTTTTACCACTTTCTGTCTTCTGTACTTATAATTTGTATGCATGGGTTACCTCCACTTATTAAGGATAAACCCCCTGCAGGCTGGAGCTTGGCCTTATATAACATTGCTTTTCTGAGCAGGACCAACCATGTGTTAGGGAAAATATTTATTCAATAAAAGAATGATAAAAACCAGCAGAAGAAACATTTCTTTTTTTTTTGCTCCTCACCACTGCCGCAGGGAGAACTAGGTGAGGTGTTTTGGGGTAAGAGAGAAGGGAGGAATAAGCGAGCTACCATATTTAAAGGTGACTAATGCTTTCCAAAGGAAACGAAAGATTTGCAGTCATTACTATTTTGCAAAGCTTTATTTTCCTACTTAAGGGACGGCTCTTCAATTTTGCAATCTGAAAAAGAACTAAAAGCAACCACCACATGTAAGGCGGTCCCCTCGGTCTCAGGGACTATTTTTAGGTCATTGTAACATGGTTTCGGCAGTGAAATGCTTCTCCAGCTCAGCTTCAGTGCCGTTTTCCTGACTCATGTTCATTTCTCACGCTCCCTCTGGCCCGAACCCATGCTCTTTACCTCATTCGTGCTATGCCATTTCCCCATTTGACCATCTAAACTGGCACATCTGACAGCAGGCCCATAGCCACTTCCCTAAAACATCTCCATGGGTATCCGCAGTTTGTAGAACTTCATGGCCATCTGTGGCTGTGAGGAGCCAGGGGCCCTGGAACCTGCATAAGGGTGGGGATGGCAGGCACCAAAGAGTCTGAGCTCCTCTAACCGGGGCGTGGACAGAAATAGAGATGCTTCCATCAACAGGACAACATCAAAAACCCTCCTTTAAGTGTCTATATTTGATTTGTTCTAGCAAAAATGGGGCTTAATGGACCAAACACCAACTTAGTATTTCTCATGAAGGATGAAATCCCAAACCACCTCAGCTCCCCACTGGGCACTGGAGCCTACCCAGTCACATTCCTTCTGGTGACGGGTCTCCATTCCTTCCTCCACTCCCTTCATTACCAGTACTTTACTGTCTAATCCAAGAATAGAGCTGGGAACAACACGTGAAAGATTTCAGAGGCTGGGCGTGGTGGTTTCACGCCTGTAATCCCAGCACTTTGGGAGGCTGAGGTGGGTGGATCACCTAAGGTTGGGAGTTCAAGACCAGCCCGACCAACAAGGAGAAACTCCATCTCCACTAAAAATACAAAATGAGCTGCGTGTGGTGGCATATGCCCGTAATCCCAGCTACTCCGGAGGTCGAGACAGGAGAATTGCTTGAACCCAGGAGGCGGAGGTTGCGGTGAGCCGAGATGGTGCCATTGCACTCTAGCCTGGGCAACAAGAGCGAAACTCCATCTCAAAAAAAAAAAAAAAAAAAAAAAGAAAGAAAAAAAAAAAAAAAGATATCAGAGTGCAGAGCTAGGTCAAGCTTTGTGCATGCCCATCCACCCAGCATTTAGCTGAATGGTTTTGCACACACTGGGAACTGAACAAATACCTGGCCATATAAACACAGTGGAAAGACAACTGGATTTGGAAACAGAAGACTTCAGTTTTAGTTGGCTCAAGTACCAGCTTTGCATCTCCACTGCACCTCTGCCATATGACCACGGGCGTGTCATCTACCCTACTGGAGATTTAGTTTTCCAGTGCTAAGTCATCTTTAAGTCGCCTCCCATTGCTCACACTCTCTGACTTTATTTGTGGATTGACTGATGTTTTCATCAGTTGGCTAACATCAGCTCCCCTGAGTTACCAGCAATGCCACCAACTGGTCTACCTGTCTTGTTCCTCTTCAGTCTGATGGCCACACTTCAGCCAGAATCGTCTTTCTAATCAGCTTTCTTACATAAACCACATCATTTCATTCCTCTGATTATAATACTTTTCTACAGAAAAGCACTTGGTTTAAAAGTCCAAACTCACTGATGTGGATTTACAACCTGGCTTTACCCTGTCCCCCAATTCAGCCACACCCTCAGCTCCTCTAGCCCTTTGCAGATGCTGTTTCTTCTGCCTGAAGGTCTTTTCCACATCTCTTTTGACCTATTCTTACTCATTACTTGGGCCTCAGCTTAGGCCGTGCTTCCCTTTAAGAAGCCAGACCTGCACACCTCTCTGTGTGCCTGTAGCATCCTGGGCTTATGCCTATTACAGTCCTATCACCTGTCTCCCACTGTCTGATATGCTCCTCTTTCCCCGGCAGCCTCTAAAGGTAGCAGGTTTCCTGAACATCACTGTATCCTCCATATTTTAGCATAGTGCCTGGAGCTGGTGAACGACTGAATGGATAAAGGATGCACTTGTACCTGGTTCCCATCTTGTCACATTTCTTTCTTCAACCTCCTAATTAACTCATGGTGACACCTGCCCAGGTACTGACAAACCAACCTCCTGGCTACTACTTCTCATTATAGCCACTGCAATTTTCCCCAATAACAGCAGTGGCCTTAGGTGCTTTTTATCTTCTTGGTCCCCAAAAAGGAAAAGAACAACAGGGGTCAGATATGTGAACTGATAATCAACTTACAAGTCCTTAGGTAGAAGATATTAGTAAGTAAAAGGTAATAACTTATATATATGAACTACAAAATTTACACTTTGCAATAAAGAGTAAGTTAAACACCACCAAAAAAGATACAGCATACGAATTCATGTGTATAATCAGCTAGCTTCTCCTTTGCTTCTCTTCAACACACACAAGAACAACAACAAAAAAATCTTTATGTGTCTATACTCTTACCCCAATCCAGGTCCCAGATACTCTGTCTTCAGGGATATATTCCTTTGGGTGAAGCCAGATATGGCAAACACATAGCATATATCTTACCACTGTCCATTGTCATGCTATTGAAAGTCATTGCCTAATAATCAAGCCAATTTTTCTTGGTAGTGCCTCAGAATCCTTCTCAACAGAGTGCTCCAGACATCAACTATCAGTAGGTCCCAAGCTTACGCTTCGTTCTCTGAAAGTTCCTTTGTTAAAATGTAAAGGCTTCAGAGGCTGAAGAACAACATAGAGCACCGGAGTCTTGGGGTAGATTTATTGAGCAAGTGCTTTCTTCAAGATGGGAGAAGAAAGATTTGGGTACTCGGGGAAAGAGGGGCACAGAAGGGTGGGAGGGGTAGACACCACAACAGGGAAGGAAGGGTTAGGGAGAAAACAGCAGATGAGGTCTGGACACCAAGTTTGTTTGCTCTAAGAAAGAGGCTGGTTGAGTCCATAAAACAGGCACTGCTAGAGCCCAGGGTCTTTGAAATGCACTCTCTCTCGGCTTCTGTCCCTGACAGAGCACTGAACTGAACTAAACTTCCTCGCATATAGGGATCGGAGGGTTGTCCAGATTGTCACATATGAATAGCTTGTGAGTCTAGAGAAGGAACACTGATTAGCTTCCAATCTGCAGGTCTTGTGTTCAGCAAGCCTCTTTCTTTCAGTAGGAACAAAAGCATGGTACCAGATGAGAAGGTTATAGAATGGAAGAAAAGTTTCTCAGTCACTGGGTGAAAGGCCAAGCACGTTCCCTTGATTATAGACTATTGGGCAGCATTTCTGAAAATGAGTGTTGCCAGGTGGTTGAATGATGAAATCTAGGCCAGCTACTGAAATCGTCTCCCATGCATTGCCCAAATGTGTTCTAGGAGCTCTGATGCCAGCTGCTGATGCAAACAAGCCCATAATGAAACAGGCAACAGGAGTGGACAAACCTAGGCCGCTCTGCCCACTAAATGCCTTTTTAGGTAGAATATAGTTAGATGCCTCAGATCCCTCAGCCATTCGAACATGTTCACCGAAGATAGAACCAAGGAGCAACATTTCCTTGGGAAAGCAAGGTGCGTGGCTTTGCAATGATTAACCCTTCATGAGAGAGAGAGGGGAAGTTGTGACTTGCTGTGTGTGTGTGTGCACACCTGCGTGTTTCTGTGCATGGGAGGTTTCCATGAGCATTAAAATCAAACAATAAGAATCCTTCTTACCTGGAAATGTAAACATGATTAAATCCTTATTAAACCAAGATAAAGGGATTCTGACAGAAGAGTACACATTTCTGGAACTTCCCTCGGGGCCTTGAATGACAAGCCTGCGTTGACTTTCTCCATGTGATTCTTACCAGATGATGTAAGTAATGCTGGCGGCAGCCAGCAAGGTGAGTCCGGTCTTCTTTGATGGATAGGAGTGAGGCCTGAGGACGACTTCAACCAATGTGATGGGGAATATGAAAGTGTGCTGGAGGAGAGAAAACGGCAAATCAGAATGGCAGGGTGTCCGGGGTGCCCATAGTGCCCATAATTCTCTGTTCCCTTCCAGTCTACCTCTTCCACACTGCTAGATGAACCTTTCCAGGCCATGCTCCCTAGATGCCCAAGGACCGACAGTGGCTCCCTCTTGCCTACCACATTAGTCCAAATTCCTCTGTCTGGGTACCAAGGTCTTTGTAATGTGTCTTACCCTCTCTCTGATCCTGCTTATTGCCCACTGCCCCCCGTCCCCACTTTTTTTTTGCAGGGTGGGGCGGAGATGCAGTCTTGCTCTGTCACTCACCCAGGCTGGAGTGCAGTGGCATGATCTCAGCTCACTGCAGCCTCTGCCTCTTAGGTTCAAGTGATTCTTCTGCCTCAGCCTCCTGAGTAGCTGGGATTATAGTCATGTGCCACCAAGGCCGGCCAATTCCTGACTTCAAGTGATCTGCCTGCCTTGGCCTCCCAAGGCGCTGGGTTTACAGGCATAAGCCACTGTGCCTGGCCCTCTCCTAAAACACACACACGCATGCACACACTCATGCATACTCTCACACACATTCACACATTCATGCACAAACATGCGCACTCACACTCCTGTATACATACATTCATGCACATCCATGCACATGCACACACAGGTTCATGCATATTCTCACAGATATTCACACATTCGTGCACAAACACGCACACTCACGCATACACTTAGGCATATTCTCACACATTTGTGCACACACATGCACATGGACACATCCATACTCTTGCATACTCTCACACACATTCATACATTTGTGCACACATACACACACCCATGTGCACACACACCCCTCCTCCGTTAGACCGAGGCCGTCTCCTTCACCCTCCGTTGTGTCTCTTTCACCCTTCGTTGTGCTCGGCATGCTCACTCACACTTCCAGCCTCCTGTGCCTGCTTCCTCTCCCTGTGTGGACTGTGCCTTCTCTCCCTGGGATTCAAATCCTCTATGTTCTTGCAGCCAGTGCAATCTTCCATGATACTGTCTCTGAATTTTCCTCTTGGTAATTTCTCTCACTCAACTCGACTGCATTTATATCCTGTGCCATGTAGTCTAGCACTTATGGTGTATATTCGTAAGCTCTGGGGGGCTGGAGAACACGTTCCACCCATCTTTGCGTTTCCTATTGCATTTAGCATGGTGTAACCGAGCTCAGTCCTGCTGAGGGTGGTAAGTGTGTGGGGTATGCGTGAGCCTCCCTCTGAAACCCCTATGTCCTCCCCCTCCTTCCCTGCATCACCCCCTCCTTATAACCATCTGTTTTCTTACATCCTCCAAACCCTTAACAGTAGATTTTTTTAAATGACATAATCAAGGAAATAACTTTAGGAATGGTGGTGTTTTCACATGCAAGGACTGCTGCAGCCTACTCCCATCTTGATTATAGAAGCTGACCTGGGAAAGGTCACTGGAGTATGTGTGCCATGTCTTTTCCTTTATTGATAACATTTTGAAGTCCTTCTGCCATCCTCTGAGCTTATTGAGAACATCTAGTAGTGCTAGTATTTTGCGTTTTTTGTAGTTCCAGCTGTCATTCCTCCTTCACTCCTGCTCGCCAATTTCCTCAGCTCGTGGCTGCCTCTTTCACCCACAGTCTCCACCTGCAAGCTCCAGCCCCATCTTGTTCCTGAGCCCCAGGGCAGCTATGTTGGCCCCTTAGTTAGGGTAGTCTCTGGAGCTTGGGAATGTCACTGTGTTTTCATGCCCAGTAGTGCAGTTGGAACTCTGGGTGCTGGCTCTGGGCAGTCCTTGTGCTGCCATTCACAAAAGTCTTGTGCTCAGGAGGCATCCCCAGGAGGCAGTAGCTTCCTCCCATCTGAGCTGAGCTGGCTACGGCAGTTGGAGATCACGATGACCCACAGATGACCAGAAATGGGTCAAGTTTTGGTGAGGCAGGAGAAGAGGGTGAGAAGGACTAAGCTGTAAGTACAGGGCAGCATGGGGTGAAGAGGACCTCTCAGGGTGTCCCGGTCAAGGCCACAGTGGGGTGGCCCAGAGCACCTGGGCATCTCAAGGGCCCTGGGCACCCTGAATTTTAGTGACAACGCCTAGAGAAACAGCATTGCAGACAAGCCATAGCTTTTACATGATTTGCTCAGGGCTGCTCCTGAACACACTGACTGGTTGGAGAAACAAATGGAAAGGCTCCCAGGCCCTCATCACACCTTGCGTCTTCCTTCAGTCTGATTTTAGGCTGCAGCTTCTGTGTCTCTCCCTCTAATAAAAGAGCGTGGCGTCTCAAGGCACACAGTTTCTAATCTAACCCTGGGCTAGTGACCAAATCTCTCTGAACTTCAGATTCCCCAGTTATAAAATGGGTTCAATAAATAGTACATATCTCTGGGGAGGCTGCTATGGGGATTGAGGTGAGTGCATGGAATATGCTTGGTCTCTGGCCCTGGAGAGCTTCCGTGAGCATTTGCTAGGGTTGTCACTATTATCAGTGTGACTGCTGTCCTTCATCTCATTGGTGGGCCCAGGGTGGGGTGCAAGCAAGGGTCCGGGATATCCATGGCTTCAGGTGTTTAGATGGACTCTGGCCTGGGTCTGCAAGAGGCTATGGCGTGCCAGCTACTGCAGTATGGCTGTCCCCGGGGCTCCCTCCCCAGCCCACAGCTGGTGCCTATGTTCCCAGCCAAGGCCACCTCAGAGCCCTGCTGATGCTCAGTGACCAACAGGGATGCTCTCTTCATCCAGAGGCCACCTCAGCAGGCAGGAGATGGAGCTGTCTCCCTGCACAGCCACTTGCCTCTCTCTCCCAGCCTTCACTCTGCTGCAGCCAGGAAGATCCAACCTCTATTAAAAACCATTAACAAGCCCATTATACTGGCCATTGATCTGACGAATTTTATTAACCCTGCCCACAATCAGCAGCTCCCGTCCTCTACATTAACAATCATTTGGAACAGAATTCCTGTGGAATAATGTACTGTGTTCGCGTTAGGAGTAAATGAGTTCGCGGTGATTAATGCTTTTACAACAAACAACTCAGGAATGCATGACTGGTCACCTCTTTCAGGAGGCTGCCCTTTGCAAGTGACATTCAATTGGATTTCCAAATGAATTCTCCCTGATGGCTTCTGGGAAATTTACTTCAGTGATGTCATTAGTGATGGGCCATATACCTCGACTTCATCCTAGCTAAAAGGTCTTTGCAAGAATCACATTTTCCGGTTGGGGCTGGGAGTAGCAATGAGGAAAAGAGCCTTCTAAATATTGAACTGCAGTGAAGAGCCAAACATGATGCAATAAGCCTTCCGGTGTTTCAAACGTATGGGTAGTTCACCTCACTTTGACATAAATCATATGACCTTTGTCAGACAGCACATATTTCAATAAAAAAAGGAAGAACAAATTCAGTAAGAGAAAAATCAAATATGCTTTTTGCTTCCAAAAAAATCTAATAATTAGGCTGGGATTGACACAAATTAGAATGCTGCCAAAAATTACTGGAAACACTGACTCATTCTGTATTTCAATTAACAGTTTCTCAGTTTCCCTTATAAACAGTGAAGCTGACAAAAATTAATTATCTCAGAGGGGGTAAAATATTTCCTTCCAAAGTAAACAAAACATCATGGGCTGAAACAATAGCATGTGTAAACAGAGGGGATCTAGTGGAGCTATCTTTCCTTGTCATTAAAGTCATCATTTTGGTAGATTTTCCTTTAAATGTCTCTTTCCAAATGCAATGGTTATAAGGACAGTGTTGTTCTTCTCCCGTCCTTTTCTATTCAATTATACCTTCCCCACCATTCTCCATATAATGCCAACTTTCACCTGAATATCTTGGAGTGAGAACTACAAGCATGAAGTATCGATTTAAGTATTAGTGTAATAATCACACTAGATTTGCTGCTTACAAAATAGCCTTGCAGATAAGTACTAAGATTTACCAGCCCACAGAAAATTTTTGCAAGGTTGCATGAGTGACAACATGGAAAATAATGATAATGATTTGAGCACTTGTTTGTACTCACCCCATACAGGTAGATAAGTGGCTCTATTAAACAATTTCCCTGCATATGAGGCTAAACTTACAGTAGGATGAAGTTTGCCTGACCTTTGAGAAAGAAGCAAGCCTTAATCACTGAGATAACACATGGAGCCAACAGGTCTTTATCACTGTCATAGAGGCTCCAGAGACTGAATCTTTAAGGCTAGGTTGATCACACTCTTATCCTAAGGTTCTTACAGGGCCCAAGAGCACTTAATTTTCTCCAGTGAAAAAAATTCGGAGAGCCTACATATTATAAAATCAGATGATAACATTAAAAAATCTAATCTCCACTTCTTTCCTCTATTTCATTTCTCTTCTGGACTATCTCTTGTGTTGAGTTTGAGTTGACCAAGATAAATAAACTGACTTCTACCCTCTCAGATGGGTCATCAAGAGCTTTCTCCTGCAGATGCTGTTTCTATATCACCTGCTGCATATGTGCCTCAATACTCTCTTCCTCTCCTCTATTCAAGCCACATTCTGATCTGAGAATTAGTTCCTCATATTGGCTCTTCCCAAACTGAGGTCCTTTCCTCCAAGTCTCTACAATGATACCTTTGGTTTGCTTATGGTACTAATGGATAAATACTTTTAAGTGAAGTTTTAGTGCACTAACAAGATTTCATTTCTGGGTACATTAAGGAGGATTTCTTTTGTTTACAATATATAAAATATATTGTTTTTTAATTTTAAAAAATGGAAGCCTTCACAAAATCTCTTTGGGGAAAACACATGACCAAAATATCAATTAAAACATAAACGTAAATACAATAGACATAGAAATGGAGGCAAAACAAACCTTAATCGAATGCCATCATATCCAAGCTTATTATTACACTGCTGGATCACATTTCTTAAGCTTGAAAATTGCATGCAATAAAGGCATGCAGTAATAGTTGTTTTGTAAATTCCAGCAAGGCAATCTCTGGTTTTGATAATACCACCCATTTGCAGG